TTTATATGTATTCTGAAAAATATTTTATTCTCCTTAATTAATACTATTTATTTGTTTAGGATTATCGAATTTTTGTGATAAGTTATACATCAAGAGTTCTAATTAAGTTCACATATACGGTAAAAAGAACGCAAGAATTATATTCGATAGATGAATAAATAAATTTTTTTTCCTTTCCAATAAAAAGAGAATACGGATCAATAAAAAAATTGTTTGTTGAATGGCTAATGTATTGTTTTATTTTCACCTCTTTAAAAGAAAATCAAGATATAATTATTTAACAAAATTAATCTTCTTCTTGTTCTTCTTTTTTTCTTAACCTTTCTTCTATTTCATCCATTTTACCGGATTTGATAGCTGCTTCAATAGGATCGACAACATTCATCACGCCAGTTTTCTTTAATCTGTCGAACAATACAAATAATTTTTCAGCTTCGCGTTCTTTCTCTTCATCTGTCATATTGGATAATGATAAAGAAGGTTTTTCATTTTCATAATATTGTCCAGTTATGGGATTAATTGGTTTTGATGATGAAGAATTAGAAATGTTGGATTTTGAAGAAGAGTTCGTTATGGATGAAGATGGCGATGATGATGATGTGGTGGATGGCGGAGGTGGAATTAATATATTTTTAGTCATTAAAAATCCAGCAGCATTTCCATAGCCTACATGATGTACAAATAAATGTGCTAAAAATAAAAAAATAAATCGGTAAATAATTGCATGTTTTATTACAATAATAACAATAACAATAACAATAACAATAATATATAATTATTTACCATCTTCATCACATAAAGTAAATAATAAATTACTTATACTTTCTTTTAAATTTGGTAACAAAACAGATGTCATCACTCTAATCAATCTTGCAGATAAACTATCACCCTTTTCTAATGGTTTAGTCCTATCACTAATTAAAATCAAGAAAAATAGGTTAAAAAATAAATTAAGATTAACCTAATTAAATTAAAAATAAATAAAACCTACACATCATCAGGTAATAAATTATTTCTTAAAATGAGTTTAGCAGTTTGATTTCCTTCAGCAAGTCTCTTCAATAATACAATTAGTGGAGTGATAGTCTCATCAAAATCAACATCATATTTGTCATATTCATTAATAACAGAATCAGGATCACCTTTAATTGTTATGAAAATCATTGTTTTTAATATATCAATTAATTTGTATAAAATTAAGTATTGATTATTTTGATCATTATTATTTGATTTTTTTTTTGATGATTTTGGCAAATTTTGTTGTTGCTGCTGTTGCTGATTAGTTGATTGGGAGGAGGTTGAGGTTGGAAACAAAATTAATTCAACAGGAAAATTTAATAATGCATGGATTGCATGTGAATGTGGTGGTGATAATGGTAAAGGTGAAGGAGGTTTAAGTTCTAAAATTATTTCAAGAATTGGTGGAAGAAGTCTAATAATAATAAATTGAAAAAATTGAAGAAAAAATGACTTAAAAGAAGAAATGCCAAGAAACTTAAAGTTATATAAACAATTAAAAATAATCTTACATATCAAATTTTGTATTATTTTCTTTGACTTTTCCCTTGTCATTGTTGTTCTCTTTATCATCATTATTACAATGATACAGTGAAGCAAGTTTAGGATAATTCATCATTAAATTAAAAAGTAATTTTAATTGTTCATTTAAAATCATTTCATTAGTATATGGTGAAGAAGATTCTTTTTTTGAATCGTAGTCTAAAGATGATAATTCTTTCACAATGTTTGAAATGTTCTAAATGATAGTAATAATTAATATTTTATTTTTCTTGAAAAAAAATTGTTTATTAAAAAAAAAAACATTAAAAGCATTAGAAATTCTTCAACCTTATAAAGTACATCAATTATTCCAAGATCATCAACAAGCTGTTTAGTCGCACTTAAAGAACTAACAGTAATGATAAATAATATTCTAGATAATAAAAATTGTGCTCTTGTTGATAAATTTTCATTCTACAATAATTAGAATAATAATTGGAATTATTAACAATAAATTATTATTATAACTTTATAATTTATATAGTTTTACCTTGAAAACCACAAAACTTGTAAAAATACAATTATATTTTTCAAATAAATTTCTTGTGCTATCCTTTAATAAAAGTGAATTCGCAATGCATGTCAACGATTCTTGTGATATAATATTATCTATTAATTTATCTTTTTTTTCTTGCTCTTGATTCCCTACGCTTTCTTCTTCCTCTTCTTCTTCTTGATTTTGTAGTAAACCTGCGTGATTTAATAAAATCTTAAAACCCTAAGTAATTAATAATATAAAAGAATCATTAGTTTTAAAGAAATTGGTCTGCAATACTTTTCGTGATAATTTATTATTTGTTTTACCTCTTCAGAAAATAAATAGTCACAACCTTTAGTATCTCTTCCTAATACCTTAATAGTTTGTAATGCTAATGCTTTAACTATATTAATTGATAGTCATCAGAGTAATTAGAATTTTGAAAAATTCAGATTAAATAAATGATTAATCAAATGATTACCATTTTCATTCCAATTATATTTATTTTCATTAATGTCATTTAATAATGATTTTATCAATTCGGATTTTTCATTTATCTTGAGTGATGGTAATACTACTTGAATGAAAAAACATTTTTAGTTTCTGGTAAATATTGAAAAAATTAACCTATCAATTTATCAATTAATTTACCAGAAGAATTTGAAACATATTCTGTTAAAACATTTGAAACAATTTCATTGTTGGATTTGTCTTCTATTGAAATATAAGAATTCATAATAATAATAATGATGAAATTCGATTTTAAAATTTGTCCGTGCACAAAATAATTTATTTTGATGATCATGTAGATTTTGTAAATAAAAATTGCTTTTTTTATTATTTTAATTTTTTAACGACGTAATATAATTTCAAAATTTACAAATTCTATGTCAAAGCAATGGATAATCATGATGATCACGATAAAAATTCAGTTGATTGTGATGCTAACTTAACTTCACTTGATTCGCCAAAATCTTCTTTTCCATTAAAATCAAGACCAATCACAATCCCATCGTCAAGATCATCCTCACCACATCGTTATTCATCAAATACACATATCATTAATCCAACATCAATCGATTCCAACACTGATTTAATTAGCCCTGAAGAAAATTTCTCTTTAAATGACACAAAAAAAACAGATTCTTCATTTTATCAAGAATTATCTATTCATGTTGAACAACCTGTTGGTAGCATGTCTATTTCACCATCAAATCGTGATATTGTGTTAGCAGCGTATGTATTCTTTTAAAAATTAGAGGTCAATGTTATTGTCATTATTGTCATGTTTATATATTAAGAATTAAATAGATATAATTATTTATTTAAAAGATGTTTCTCTTAATCCATATACGTATATAGACGAAAAGGTCTTTTTATTATAGATCTGGAAAATCCATATGAACCTCCTCGTGAACTTCACCATCTAACAAGATGGGAGGTAGCTGATGTACAATGGAACCCACATTTGGCACGTGATACTTGGGTTGCATCTACGGTATGATTTTTTTAAAAAATATTTCATTTTTATTCGATTTATTCATATTTATTTATTTATTTATTATTTATTTATAGTCAAATCAAAAAGGACTTATATGGAACCTTGCGCGTCCCTCTTCAAGTGCAGTTGAATATATTTTACATGGCCATAACCGTGCAATCAGTGATATTAACTGGAATCCATTTAACCCAGAT